AAACACACACACACACACACACACACACACACACACACACACACACACAGAGTTAAGTATGTGTGCCCACACATAAACACACACATACACATGAGCACATGCATACACACATATTCAGGCTTCTGTACCCACCCACACAAACACACCTCCCACATGTGACTATATATGCATACACACCCACACATGTAAACACAGATACACACACACACACACACACACCATATAGCGTGTGCGTGACAGAGCACAGAGTTGAACCTCTAACTATCAGACCTAAGTATAGTTTTACCCCCTTAGCCATTATCAGAAGATGGGGATGGAGGGACTAGACAGAAGGCTGCTATGCCGTACACAGGTAGGAGGATAGAGAGGTGGGAGGAGATTACCCCCAAGTTCAGCAGCCCCCATTCCCTTTTTTTGGTTTCATTTCTTAAGAAAATGTCAGCTTAGGACTTGCTTGGATCAGGCAAAGTGGAGTGGGCTATGGGCTCCCATCTGGGCACGCCAATGGCCCCACCCCAGGTAAGCTGCTCTGAAGGGCAGGGGTGGGGGTAGGGGCAGGATCGGGGAGAGGCCTTCACCCAGGACCCTTCAGTGTTTCCCAGGAGAGAGAGTATAGGAGAGATGGGGGTGGGGAGCAGAGGGTAGGACAGAGTATTCAGTGATGCATCAGAGGTATTTCCAGCTGGAGGACAGGGTATGTGAAGCCATAGGACAGAGTCCACAAAGACAGGCTGGAAAACAGCCAGGCAGCACAGGCAGCCTCCCTTGGGTCAAGTCGGCCTTTGTGGCCTATACTGTCGCTAAACATATTTTAAACACTGTAATTCTCATTAGTTAAAGCTGGATGGTTTTATTTTGAAATCCAAAATTTCAGAGTCTCTGAACCTTCTGGATGATCTGAACTCAGATTCCCTGTGGTAAATGTTGGTTGGAGTGGAGCAGGCCGGTTCTGTCTCCATTTGTGACATGTGCTTGGGTCTAGAAGCAATGCTGAGCTGGGATTCCCAAATCCAACAAGGCCTCTCTGGCTGATGATGGCCTCAGTGACGACACCAGGAGAGAAAGTGGGTGGGTGGAGGGCCTTGCGGAGCTGTTGGGACATAATGCCAATTGATCTGTGCCCTGAGTACCTTCTAAGAGGCGAGAGAGTAAGGGGAGCCCCAGTCTGTGGTGGGGCGGCCACTCAGAGCAAGGGGTCAGAAAGCCTCATTTTATCTCTAGGAGTGGGGTAGATTCTGCCTGATCATCCTTAAAACACACACACACACACACACACACACACACACACACACACACACAATCACTTTCTCTGTTCCCATTTGCAGTTTTGCCTACTGACTCCTGTGAGAGCAGCTACAGTCATTTCTAAATTCTCATTTAGAAAAATAGTCAAACCTTTCCATGCACCAAATATTTGCTTCTCATCAAGGGGAGGGGGGACCCAAACACCTTTATTTCAGCAACAAGCTCATCCAAAGACTGTAACTGTTTTGGTAGCTGGGGCCAAAACAAATGTTCCTCCCCCAAGGCCAAATGATTCCAGAATGTTTGCAAAATGTTTTTCACTCCTTTAAAAATACAGCAAAATGTACAAAAGCACTACCATTAAAGAATATTAAGAACAGAAGGGGAGAAAAGCCAAAAGAACAAAATGACGCCCATCTTGTGCGCCTCCCAATTTCTGCATCCAGAGAGCTGCTCTTAGTAGCTGGCCCCATGGAGATGGAGGGGCACTGAGCGCTGTCCTGAGAGGTACGCAAGTATTAGAGGTGTGCTCAGAATCTCATCCTGATGGGTTCTTTCTGAGCTGTCTGACCCTAAAGGATGTCACTGGAGCTCAGAGCAGAAAGTACAACATCTCTTGATGGAGAAGGTTGGAATCAGGACGTGTTGACCCATCTGACTCCATATGGCTGCCATGCTGGCCCAGCTGCTGATCTGTGGTTTGCCTCTGCCGCACTTATATTATAGGGAGGCAGAATTTTGGTCAGACAGGTGGGGAATAATGTCAGGGCAGGTTGGCTCCCTGTCAGGGGGCAGTTTATGCTCAGTCTAGAAGACTCCACTGGACAGCAGGTGTTGGGACTCTTAAAGCGGTCCCCAACAAGTGACAGAATTGGCTTGGGCATATCATAGAAACTTTGAAGAGATACAGAGGGAAGATGGGGTAGATCCAAGAACTAATGGAGTACAGGAGGGAGAGTGTGGCATGGAGAGGGGTTTTATGTTCTTCAGCTTGCCAGGTCTCTTAAGAGCAGGGCTGTGGGCAGTGAGCAGTGTTGGGTGGGGACAAAGTATGAAAGGTCACCTTGGGCTCACTGATACATACTCACTATTGGGGTGAGGCATGAAAACCTAGGTGCGTGAGAAGCCTGGCTCTGAAGTGGATGGAAAGGCTGAGAGATGGTAGGACAAGGGGCAGGCTGGGTAGCTGGGTGGCTGGGTGGGTGGCTGGGTGGGTGTTTGGTAAATGGGGGGAGAGGACTCAGTAAATCTGCTGGGAGGAGGGTTGAAGGAGATGGTGAGAGATGTTGATTAGGGTGAGTGACTAGGGGTGGGTGGTTAGTCTGGTATGTGCTATTGAGCCTGTGGGCACACACACACATGGGTGGGGGCTGGTGGGTGGAGGGGCACGAGTGGGTTTGGCTTTTGGGTGAGTGGGCTGGTGGTACCTTGCTGGGTTGGTTGGTGGCTGGCACCGAGCACTGGCTGCGGTTCCATATGCTGGTGAGTCCGTGGATGGTGGTGGACAGTGACGTGTGGTGGTTTGACAGGAGCAGGTGGAAGCATGCTGAGGCTGGGCCAGGGGTCAAAGTGGTATGGGTGGAAGAAGGCTGCTGTCAGCAGCATCTGCCTTGTCTCTTTCAGGGCACCAGCCACACATGGGAGACTCCTGGCCACGGAGCTCAGCTCATGAGGCAGCAGAGCTAAACCGTCAGTGCTGGGTCCTGGGGCACTGGGTGTGATGTGGTGCAAGTGCCCCTGCCTTCCTGCCATCACTGGCACAACACCCCTCCCACTGGACATGGAAGCCTGGTCTCTGTGCTGTGGATTCAGCTCTCCAGTCATGGAGACACCAGGCCTAGACTGCCACCACTGCCTGGGTCTCAGGGCCCCAGAAATGGGTCAAGCAGGCCTGAGGGACTGTCCGGGTGGCACAGAGACTCAGAGACAGTGGCCACTACCACACCTAGAGCCCCACCCAGCTGGAGAGCCAGGAAGAACATGGGCATTGACCACTGGATGCTGGACACCTACAGCCAGTCACAAAGTCAAGCAGGTGCCCAGAGGGGCAGGGTCCTGTGGGGATAGGGAGCAGGGCTTATTGAGGGAGAGACAGTGTCTGCCTCTGCAGGGGCCACACAGCAGGCACACAGCAGGGGCTCAATAAATGCTTGTTGAATCTGTTCTTTTGCTATGTATGGGCTGGCTCCCCCCTCCCACCCCTGTCATTACCTTACCCCAGAGGTGTGAGCCCTGGGCACTGAGATCAGGACCAAACTGTTTGGATGAGCAAGAGTCTATCTCAGCCTGGGGAAGATGGAGACAGGTGGGCAGAGCAGGAGGGGAAGCCAGGATACGTGTCTAGGAACTTCAGCAATGTGACACCACCCAGACTCTCGGGATCCTTTACCCTGTGTCTAGGGCCATTTTACATAAAATCTCTGGCTCAGCTGCCTGGGGGAAAAACAATTCCTGTCTTGACCTTGAGAGCTTGGGTCCAGAGAGGGAAGTTCCTTGCTTGAGATTAGAGGTAACATGTGGGACTGTGTGTTTAAGTCAGACTCACTCCCAGTTGAGCTTAATCCTGTCCTGAAGGACTGGCAGACTGAGGCAGAATGTGGTCTCCACCCATCAACCCACTGCCCACCCATGACCCACCATCCCGCCAGCATTCAGGCACCATCGTCTGCCCATCCACTCATCTGCCCATCCACTCACCATCCACTCGCCCATCATCCATCCATCATTTACCCGCCCGCCCATCCAGTATCATGACCATTTAAACATCAATCCATCCACTCATATGTGGTTCATCCATCTAATCACTCACCCATTTAGCAGCATGTAGCCACTCATCACCTATCCAACCATCCATCCATCCATCTAGCTAGCATCCATCCATCCATCTTCAATTATCCATTCACCCATGATTCACCTACCCATTATCCATCTGTCACTGTCATTCCTCCCCTGTCAATCATCCATCCATCCATCCATCCATCCATGCCTCAGCCATCTTTATCATCCAGCTATCTATCTGTACATATGTCTGCATACAGGTATCATCTATTGTGCCCCTACTGTGTGCCCCTCAGTGTGGTAGGCCGTTGAGAGGGGACACTGAAGATTCCAGAAAAGCAGACAAGGGAATGAGAGGTGACAGTTCAGTGTATGAGTGCTGGGTGTGGTACCCGCTCTGGAGTCAGACTGCCTAGCATCAGATCCTGTCTCCTCAGCCTCGGTGGCCTTACCCTGTAGATGGGACTCTTCACTGTACCTACCTCTTATAGCTACTGGGGGTTTGTATGTGACATAGACTGGTGCCTATGAACACAGAGAGCAGAGTCTGGACCATGGAAACACCCTGCCATCATGTCAATGCGGAGAGTTGAGGCCATGGGGCTGAGGCAGTGCCTGTCGGAGACCACCTGAAGGATTGGTGATCAAGGAAATGATATGCAAGCCATCTTGCTGATGTCAGGTTGTGGAAGGAAGGACAGGACAGGAGAGGCCTTTCAATTGGCCCAAAGGCAAGCATGGAGGGAAAGGAGGTTTGTGGGTGTGGATCCAGATTGCAGAGCGGACTCAAAACCTCATTGGGGGACCTGTAATGTATCCTGAGGACAGCTGGGGGCTCTGGACAGGGTGGGACAGGCCAAGCTAAGGTGTGAAGTCTAGAAAGTCACCTCAGTTCCAGGCTAGAGTAGATGACAAAGGCAGGACTCCTGGGTCTTTGCAGGGCCCTAAGTGTGAGAAGAGTGTTGTAGTTGAGAAACAAGGCCCATGGAGGGTCGGGTGGCTGACTTAGGGGACAAGAGGAGGGATTGGCATGGGAGGAGAGGGCTTAAGGTGTCTGTCCTATGTCAGGCAGGGCACCTAGGGGCAAAGATGACCTCCATGCTTCTGTGTACAGGCACACCTGTGCTCAATCACTCAGAGCACCTCTCTCTGTGTTCACACATTTGGTGTGGGGGCCTCTGGGAGAGACAAAGTTGACCTGGGCAGAGTCCTTCACAGTTGTGAGGGTACCAGAAAACCAGTATGGGGAGCTGTGGCACTGGCCTTTCATAAGCGGGAGCCCCTGGGATGGGGCCTGAGCATGGTCATTGGTCTGGAATCTGACCCTGCCACCAGGAACTTTGTAGGTCTTAGTGATCATCCAGGGGCCTTGTGAAATTGCCACGGGCCCCAGTAGGTCCAAGAAATGATTTTAGTTGCAAAACTGCCATCTATTTTAATAGCTGCGTTTATGTAAATGTGTATTAGAAAACTGTGTATGGGCGTGTCCACACTCCAGATGCAGGCACTGCTGTGTAGAATGAACCACAATAGGCATTTCGGTAAAAAGAGTTTTGGCTTAAAGAAAAATACTAAATAAATAATCATGCAAGTGGTTGGTGATTGTGGTGTGTGGGTGACTGGAATGGGGGTTACTGCCAGGAGAATGGACATAGATTCAGGTCCTCCTGGGAAGCAGTTGGGACCCAGCTGTCTTCCTGTACAGCAGGAAGGCTGCTGGCCAGATAAAAGGAAGCAGTCACCTTCTTGAGGGCTGTCTTCCTGCTGGGAGCAGAAGCCACAGTACTTCCTGCCTGGAGCCACAATTGGGAGGTACCACTTGGTCTGGGAGGGGCCACAAACCACCCAGAGTCCTGGAAGGGAGTCAAGGGACAATCTACAGGAGCTCAGCAGCTCTGTGTCACACCCTGAGCTGGTGCATGCCTGTCATTCTTCCCAGGTCTGGACCACATGTGGCCACTGATTTTCAGATGCTAGCCTGGGCCAGGCTGATAGTTCACAGACGCCATGCTAGGAAGTGCACTGTATCAGTGTTCAGGTCTGGGGATGTGACACAACTCCCAGGCCTCAGCACGAGACCTGCTCAGAGCCTGCAGGCTCCCTGATGCCTTCACCTCATATGACTGTCACCTCCTCTCTCCAGGGGCAGAGGGACCCATGGCTGTCTTTCCCTGGCCAAAGCTGATGGACAGCCCCCAGTCACTACTTCTTCCCTAGTTTGTGGCCTTGATGAGTGGTCACCCTGCCACCCCACCCCCACTACCTCACGGGGACCTGGTCACATACTCATCTCCCAGGTAACGGAAATGTCAGGTTGATTCATGGGCCTCGCTGCCAGGCCTGATGAGAAGGCTGGCAGGAGCTGCTGCTCCAAAGGAGGAAGTGAGAGCTGCACAAAGCATCCTGACCTGCACTTGGACAGGCCTAAGTGTGAATCCTGCCCTGTCTCAGTGGCTGACCCCATCTGCAAACAAGTCACTAGGAGACCAGGAGACACACATACACACAGAACATAGCTGTACACAGAGCTGCCACAAGGAAACAAGATGGAGAAACATACTAGTACAGGAGGTTACCCGTGTCACCTCTAACAATAAGAAAGCCACTTCAAAGAGTGAGCAGGGTCAGGTAGAAACTGCAAGGAGCCATTGAAGCCCTGGTTCAAGCGTGAGGCAGGAGACACTAGGTCAAGTGTGTGTTATGCACACAGCCTGTGAAAAGGCCCTGGGGTTGAGAGTCACCCCTATGTGGACTGTATGATGCTGTGGTCAAACCTAGTGCTTGGAGCTTGGGGTAAGGAGAGGCTGCCCCTGCACGGACTTCGGGATTTGATGTGGGAGACCCTAGGACTATGGCAAGGACTGGAGTCCTCATGAGGGGTGCCTGGTTGACGGGGTCTTTTGGATAGGTAGGATCAACACGTGCTGCTGTGTTCAGGTTTCCTTTTGGCTGTGTGGGCCTGGGGACAAGGTAACCTGAGGGACTGCATCAGGCCTTGGGGGAGGTGGTGGCTTGGGCATTAGAGCTCAGAGGAGGGGTGTTTAGGAAGGGTACCTGGCAGCTGGCCTTGCTGCAGGTTGGATGTGATTCTGGACAGGCAGAGACACTGGAGGCCATAGGAGCATTGAGGGGTTCAGGCAACAGTGCTCTGGATCGAAAGATAGGGAAGGGTGTCCCCTACCTCTGTGGAAACAAGATTCTGGATGGTGTGTGGGCTGAGAGAGGCTGAGTTCTAAGAGTCCCTGGCCTGGGCTGGTGCTCCAGGGCTCTTAGTACCCTTGTGCTGACTCATCGGTCAATTTGACACAAGCAAGCATCATCTGAGGGCAGGGAACCTAAACTGAGAAATTAGCCCCACAAGATTGGGCTGTAGGCAAGTCTATAGTGGTTGTTGCATAAGGGCTCAGTCCATGGTGGGAGGTACCACCCCTGGGCAGGTGGTACTAGCTGTTTAAGAAAGCAGGCTGAGCAAGCCGTGAGGAACCAACCAGTAAGCAGCACCCCTCTGAGGCTTCTCCATGAGTTCCTGTCTCCAGGTTCCTGCCTAGTTTGAGTTCTTGGCTTGGCTTTTCTTAGTGGACTGTGACTCTGGATATGTAAGCTAAATAAACTCTTTTCTTCACAAGCTGCTTCTGATCATGGTGTTTCATCATAGCAACAGAAACTAAGACACAACCCACAACTGCTAGACAGCTCTACCCAGGCCACTGTGTGTAGGCCTCAGGACAGTAGTACATCACTGCCATGAGGAAAAGCCAGTCTACTGCACTGGGGATTCCACTGTAGACAGACAGGATGTCACTACAGGGCTTTGCCTGTCTCTAGAGCTGCAGAGCTTCTGTCACCTGGCCAGTCCTTCTTGGACTACTCTCCACCGAGCTCCCATACTGTCATTTGCTTCCTGGACAATGGTGAATGGTGGCCTGTTGATGGCTGTGGGTCTGGCTGAGGTAGGGGACTAGAGAGGCAGCAGGTGGAGGGGCCTGAGGTAGGGAGAGGCCAAGCTGGGGATAGGACCATCTGGGGTGTGCCTCCCCTTCCCTTGCTGGGAATTGGTAGAAAAGAGAGCCTGCCACAAAAGACAAGGGTAGGGGTGGGATGTAGGCAGGCATGGCTTTGTCTCAACAATGGCTGTGAGATGCTTTTGGAGCAATCAACTGAGGCTGAACACAGAGGGGCAGGCAGGAGACGGGGTCCGGGGAGCCTTGTTGCCCTGGCAGAGTCTCTGTCAGTGCCACACAGCCCCTAGATTCTGGCATCCTACTCTCAAGTCTGTGCGTTCTGAAAGGATGGCCACTAGAGGACTTAGCTGCATGCCTCCGGGAGGGGTGCACTGAGACCCAAGGCCTGGATGCTGGGGCAACTCCCAGAAGTAGGTACTGCT